TGAGTGGTTCTCATCTCTACAATACCTGAATGCTAGTATAAACGATTTATCTATTTCTGAATCTTTTTTAGATAATGGAAGTGAATTTGGGGCCTTAAATGATGCAACAATTAATGCCCTTGGATGGAAAGCTGACAAGCCATCTGACTTCGATATAAAAGGTAACTCTAAACATATCACCGAATCGTTAGGGTGGTTTACAGATATGCTAGTCAGTATAAAGGATAAGGATAATAAAACTGTTACAGCTACTGAAAATTTTATACGTATTGATAATGGTGAATCTGAACCAATGCTATGTCTAGGTATGACATGGATTCAAAAGGTTCAAGGTATTCTTGACCCAAATAAAAATCAATTTCATATGAAAATACATGGAAAAACTTACAATATCTCAACATTTAGTAAGCCTCCAGAGGTTAGTGAACCAGAGCAACAAACATCAAAAATGCATGATAGTGAGAACTTAAAAAAAAATACATGAATTGTGAGAATAAAACAAACTGTGAAAAAGAACTCGAAAAAGCATTATTCACAAGTATTCAATCAGTTTCTGAAATAATTGGGCGTTATAATAACTTAAAAGCTCAGTATGATAACTTGTTAGCAGAGCTAGTTCCACTAACTCAGGTTGCTAACACCAGCTCTAGTTAGCTGTGAAGTAAGAGTATGACCCTGGACTCTTGACTTTTTCTATCTCTTTATTTGTCTGTTTATATAAAAGCAGAACATCTTCAGACTTTTGCGAGATATCAGATAATAGAGAGAGTATAGATTCTAATTTTCTACCTACTTTTTCTATTGGATCTTACTATCAGAAGACAAATCAGGCATGCAAACGGACTTGGTTCTCCTCTTTTTTGTCTGCCTATCTAGGGTATTATTTTTAGATATGGGTACTGCTTTAGAAGAACCAACATTTTGTATTATTTGTTGCTTGCACAGGGGTAATCCTTGGGCATGCAATTTCCAGATCTCATAAATTCGACGAGTTGAAGTGTCATATTTTCTAGCCATTTCTTTGGAAGCATTTTTAATTGTCTCTCGAGAATGAATTATTTCCTCAAGTGCATTTGGAGATAAATATGGTGTACCTGCACGATAATATTCTGCTGTTATACGTTTCATCCTTTTTATAATTACAAAAAAAATTTCAAAAATAATCAAAAAGTGGCAATAATTTTTGAAAAATACCAGTGTTTATCTAGCATTTTTGAATAATAATTCGAAATATACCAGTGTTTATCTAATATTTTTAAAAAACAATTTTCAAAAGATACCAGTATTTATCTAATACATATACTCTATAACACGAGCATAAGAAATATGATATTTTTTACCATTACTAATTTTTAATACTTGTATATAGTCAATCCAAATTATGGTCAATGTATATATATTGTGAGATACCATTTTGGAGAAGAGTTATCGACTTGGTAGTATTCGAGAACTAGAGCTTGAGGAGGCATTACGGAATAGTATCAGGACTAATTCTGAACTAAGTAGTGAATATAAAAATCTGCAGGTAGTATGTTCAAAATTTAGTAAAAATATCAATCAGGAAAATGGTCAATTACGTCAGGACTTAAATCAGGCTGATATAGATAAAAAGAAACTTTCCAAACATGCATTTCAGCCTATAGATGTGGATAGACGATTAAACTCAGAGTTAGATACTCTCAAGTTTCAGATTACTCGCAAAGATATATCTCTTGCAGAATTCAAGGCTAAGTATGCTACAAAATTAAAGGAGATTAAATTACTTCAGAATGAGATAAAATTATTAAAAAGTAAGTTAAGATTATCACAGAAAGATTTATCGAAAAAGGGGTCTGAAATTGAGTCTCTCAAGTCTAAGATAGTTGAATTAGCTTTGAAAATTAGTGAGTTAGAGCATCTGAAATCTGAGGATATATCGGAATCTATAATTGGAGAAGATGACAAAAAAAATACACAGAGTAAGAAACAAAGTTCCATAACCAAGTCTGATGATATATCTGCAGTTAGTAAACTTAACAAAAATCTCAGTCAATATTTTGTATATAGACTCAAAGAGCTATTGCTTCACAATAGAAAAAGTATAGATCAAGCTGGAAAAATCGATACTATTATACCGGATCACTCTGATGGAAAGAATACCTCTATATCTAAGAAATCAGTGATTCAAGACTATGCCTCATCTCCAAGAATAGATACTGAAATTATTTCCAAGATAAGTGATGAAATTGATATTAGCAAAACTAACAACAATATACTCCAAGAAATACCGGAGACAACTCCATACCTTGGATCGGATAATAAAGAAAAAATAGATGAGTTAAATGAATTTATTGATTCTTAATTATACAGAAAAAAAATATCAGCAGATTGAAAATCTTTGATCATATGGAATACATCTGAAAAAAATAATTTTTTAAAATATATAACATCCATTGATAGAAAACAAAGATGCAAAATTCTAATTCATTATGCAGAAGAATTCAAAAACAAAAATACCTCCTATGAAACTATTCCTTATAGATATGGATGAGGCCACAAAGCATGAATCATTCCGAATTCAATCTCATCTAGCTTGCCCATCGTGGCCATTTAAAATGCTAGTTACCGGAAAGAGTGGATCAGGTAAGACTAATATTTTGGTAAATTTTTTTCTTGGAGATAAAGGAAAATGTATATAGTCTTTATAACTAATATTACAATAAGCATTTCCTGTGCAATTTGTGCCCCAATGCTTATCCATAAAATGACGAAATCTATACTCATACCCACGTCCTATTTTAGAGTAAACTAGTTCATTGCACGAATGACATATTGCTATACTTACGTCTACAGCATAGCTGAGATCGCCTTTCCATAAATATTTTATTTTTCTGGCGATAAGATATTGCTTTTTATCATCAGTTAAACGATTATTATTTTTATAATTAGTCAACTGATTCCAGATTCGGATTTTCCAATCAGATGGTGTTTCACCTTTGTAGATTACTAGAAATCGACAGTTATCTCTCCATTCAATATCTCTCAAACTGGATATTTATTTGTATAGACCATATTTAACGATTAAGTGATTTAACGTATTATATATAGTTTTTTTAAAGATTATGTGATTTATATCAAATTTAGAGATTTAGACCTATTAGATTTTATTAACTTAATACTTTCTTAATTCCAGATTCAATTTTTGCAAAAGGTATTGTAATGAATGAATATCGATTAAATATATTAAGTCAGAGGGTCCTATCGCTTAATAAGAACGAAATTTTTTGCATGACTAAGCATACCCGTACAAATAGCTCTGGCAATTGTCTTATTAACACAAAACAATCTAGTATAAGAAGACCTCGATTATCTTTTTTTTATATAATTGTATGTTTGTTTTTAAGGGGCGGATTACCTGGTAAGCCATAAATATTTGTACATCCAAGCCA